ATGAATATAATAATTAGATATTACATATAATTTGGTAGAAAAACAGTGTTTTTACGTTTTATTGGTGCAAAGATGAGTGGTAATATTTATTTTGTACAACATTTGCAACTGCTTTTTATCACTTAATTAGAAGCACCACAAATTAAAATTATGTCATGTTATAGGGACTAGGGCCTACTGAACAGACATTTAGAAGTTGATTTTAAAATAAAGCTATAAACACTTGCACTTTTACAACACTATAAGTGTGTCCCATCAGGTAATGAAAAGTTGTACACACAAGCCTTGTCCAAATACCCACACTTGCGGTTTTTTTTCTGTTGATGCTAGATGCTAATGGAACCTGCTTCAGGAGAATAAAATTATCTAAATATTTCAAATAATTTCCTCAGAAATTGGAAGATGGTGTTGACATATGGCTGTGACAAAGGAAATATTAACATTAGGATTTAAAATATTCTAAAATTAAAACTTAGCAGAGCCTGTCTGACACTGATGTACTCTGCCGAGGTGAACTGTGGCAAGGGGGTCCTTTAGAGTGACAGTTGCCCCTGATATTCCCTGATTTTATGACATTTTACTGAATGTCTGACAGTGTTGACAAAAAGTGGGGACGCAACTTTAAAATCTTATTAAGCATGCATGTGTCATTAAAAAAACAACCTTGCTTTGATAGGAGATATTATTAAGTGTTGCTTTTGATAAAACAAGCTCTTTTTCATCATTAAAAAAAAAAACATTTTTATCCATTTTATTGTATATGAATGATTGAACCCTTCTCTGTGGACACACTGTTTCAGATGTAGTGAGAGGACAGAAACACAGATTTGGTATAATAATGAGAAAATTAAATTGAAGGTGATAATTGTGTTAAATACTTTCTATTATTAATGCCTCATGACATTTAAAATTGAAAATATTTTTATTTTTTAAAGCTAATAGCAGTTACCCTTGCTGGACCTGTTTTGTCCCACGTCTCAAGAATGACTGGACAGACTTGCACACTTACTTCCTGTCGCACACACGCGCTCTCAAGTGGCCAAGACTGCAAGTGTGGGTATTTGGACAAGGGGTTGGACAAGGGGACACTTGTCTTCATGCTCACTTGAACACTTGGGCCAAATACAGGAAATACGTCATATAAGTTGTCAAGTGCAAAGACCGCAAGTGTGGGTATTTGGATGAGGCATTTGTTCAAACCACGTGAACCTCAGCGTCGTTTCCTTTACATTATATTACTTTATAATGTGTTAGCATTGCTTTTTTTTCAATATTGTAATTTATATATTAAGCTGAAATTAACTTTGCCTATGAAATAACAGGACTGAGGCAGAGTTCAAATAGACAGATTGCGGATTTAAATCATGAATTTATGTTTAATTTATTTTACTTATTTTAGTGCCAGCACACCGACACAAATGAATGACTTTGACAATGACCATTATTTATATAAAATAAAATAAAACAAAGAATCAGTTGTAGAACCATATTCATTTTTATGACCACCAGATGGCCACAACACAAAACCGTGTTACAAACGCGTGATTTTTTTTTCCCAAACCAGTTGAGCGCAAACCACGCCCCCTACGCGAATTCATTGGTCAACCCTGTGACGTCACCTGTAGAGTTCCGATGAGCGTTTTTGAAGCCCAAAGTGGGCGGAGCGGGCCGTCGCCATCTTTGCCGCGCGTCACCGCGCGTCACTTCCGGATAATCGAAAATGGGCAAAAAGGCGGGAGCTGGTTGCTGAAACCACGCCCACCTAGCTCGACGGCAGTGTCAGCAGCGGCAATCCACCTGTCACTCAAGTGGCCACGCCCTTAATTATGCAGAATTTTAAGGCTTAATATAATTTAAACGGATGAGTTATAAAAAAATTCACCCCCCTCACAGCTGTCATGAAGGGCAAAATTTTCTATATAGACTAAAATATTTTTTTGAAACAGGCTGTAAACATGTTTTTTTCTGCTGTAAAGTTGGGCATTTTAACATGGGGAGTCTATGGGATCGACTCCCTTTTGCAGCCAGCCTCTAGCGGCCAGTTGATGAATTACAGTTGGTTACAAAGCTTCGAGTAATGGATCCTTTGGTTCAGAACGCTTCACTTCGCCACCTGTGAACTGACTAAATGAACTAAACGAACTTAAACTAAATTGTGTCATCAACTCGCTTTCAACCGTGAATACTATCATTTAGACAGGACTTGAATGCACTATAGTAGTTCTGTTGCATATAAAAGACTTTTATGTCATTGCCCACCCGCTTTAGATAGGAACTTCCGGTTCAGATCTGTTTGATTTCTGGCGGTTTATTTTGAACGTGTATAACGCGAAAGATGTGATGATAATTAATATTAATTTTTAACGAAGAGCACTTTCGTCCGTACGATGGACGCACAAGTCAGAGCTGTTCTATATCGGGTAATCCGGAGAATACCGAACAAAAATCTAGAGAATCTTTTGAAGAAATGGAATTGTTTATCAACAGATCAGCTCTATGCCCTGGATTACACAAGACCCAAATGGGTGACAGTGGAACATGTCATCAGCTTTTGTGAGGTGAGATACATCCATTAAATGATGATTTATTCTTTCTTTCAACAGTTATGTGTGAGGTCAAATACATTAAATAATATTCTACAACAGATCAGTGAATACTACCGTTACAGTCTTTATTTTCAGCTTCCGCGTTAATCATTTATGTTGATACCGATTTCATACTGTTTGAGTCCAGATTTTTAAAATAACTTTTTAAGACTATAATTTCAAGTTAATCTATTTTCCTTTCTGTGTTCAGCGATTTCCTATGACCTAATCCAAACCCAGTAACGTTAGACAGATTTCATGAAAGCTGTAGCTTATGTTTTATGTTTTAAAGAGTCAGAAAGGTGATTGTTGTCCAGGAAAGACTTCTATATTTGCCAAGCGATATTTTGTCATTAATTTCTGATGAAAATAGGTCATGAAGCAATACAACACGGTGGGTTTTTATTAAATTGGGCTTTGGACCCCTTTCAGAACAGGCAGCGAGTAGATATACTTCAGAGTAACTAAAAAGATTGTGTAAAATTACCCTTTCTCTCTCTCTCTCTCTCTCTCTCTCTCTCTCTCTCTCTCAGGAGAACAGACTTAACCTGAAACACATCACTAATTTGGAAATGATGTGTGAGTGAAATGGCGTTTTTAACAAGTGTCTATTGTAATTTAAAAGTAAATAATACCAGGCCCCATACCTGAATTAATCCACTGACCTTTTTTTTTTCTCCCATTAGATCATATAGAAAACCCTGATCAAGGCATCTGGCATGCATGTCAGCTTACTGAGGCACAGGGTATGGGGGTTTTATTTATGCATTTCATTGTTAAGTTGATTTGAAGCAATATACAATGAGCACAGTTTGGTACATAAGTGTTTGGTTGTTTTGACTTTTTTTTATAGAAATAAAAAATTGTCTGAAGCAGTTCCTTTTCGTTTTCTCCACAGATGATGCAGTTTGTGTAGAGTTGACACAGTTCAAAGAGCAGTTTAAAGCGCACTTGCATGGGGTCATTCGGCATGTAATAGCACAACTTCATTTGGCAGTCACGCTTTCAAATCCAGCTCAACTTTTTCAGTTTAGGAATCCAAAATAACATCACTCAGTAGTCTATTAACTAAAATCTTTTGCTTTTAAAGATTTCCATTAAGATGAAGAAACATGAGGATGAGGCTGTATGGATTCGGATTGCCTGGGGAGACAACTTCAGCAAACCCAACCACCTCAAGCCAACTTATATTGTGCACCACCTGCACACTTCCTATGTGTTTATATCTAACCTCATGGCTAAACACAAGATATTTCTTTGTCAGGTGACCTTTGATATATATATCTCCTTTTGGCTTCCTTAGCCATCTCTTTTGGTGTGAGATATGTTTGTTTGTTTGAACTAAGGCTACGTCCCTATCCAATCTTTTTTTTCCCCCTCGTCTCAAAAAATATCTGCGTCCACACGAAACCGACACAAAACGATGTTGTATACAAGCCAGACCAGCATGTGGCGCTGTAATTCTGCCACAGAGATACATTAAAGGGGTCATATGATGCATTTTTAAAGATCATTATTTTGTGTGATGAAGCTGGTATGTGTTTGCTGTACACAAGCCACGGTTAAGAGCGCTGACTCCACTGTGATGTGACCCTGTCTCTTTCTCTCTCACACACACTATGCGCAAAACTCCACATTTGAACAGTCAATAGCAAATACTTAAACTAATAACAAAACAGTAGCTGATTCAGAAGCGCCAGATAAGAATATCTCTTTGGTTTTGAGACTTTAGTCTTTGCAACTTCAGGGATCTTATCTATGCACAATCAGCTTGTAACACTCCAAAGAGAAAGGAAAACTTGAAATCGCATCATATGACCCATTTAAAAACGGTGAAGACTTGGACTATGCACATAAACCTTGCGCACGGTATAAAAACGAACATGGAACAATACATTTATTAATCTGTGTTAATGTTATTTAATAAAAAGATAATCGTTCAGTGTTTGTTCATGTTCTTGTTGCTGTTACGTGACATGGCGGTGTCTGATTAGGGGCGAGACGTGGGCTGATGACGTCATAGTTTCAGAAAATATACGGATTCGCTGTCCACACGAAAACGCAAGGGTGGCGTTTTCAGATTTATCCACTCTGGGACCTGGTTTAAAAAAATATTGGTTTCACTCTCCCAAAACGCTGGATCCGTCTGGACGAAACGCCTATACGATACAAAATTTATGCGTATACAGCTAAACGCGTCTCCGTGTGGACAGGTCCTAAGTGTATTAGCATATAGTTAGATGTTGATGCGACTTCATACCACCACCCCAAAATTAAAATCAAATTTTTGTGTTTGTGTTCACTCCCATTCATAGGCATTAGTAATAGCAACTAAACATGGCTCTATAAAGGATGGACACCTGAGCACCAGGAGTCTCACTGCAATGAGGGAGTTACTTCTGAGATGCTACCAGCAGGTAACCTATCTGGGCTCTCCAAGTGGCAGCTTGCAGGCCAAATCCAAATGTGTGCTTAATTTTATAAATTTTTTAAATAGCTTTATGAATGTGTGTGTGTGTGTTTTATTTTTATTTTTTATTTTTTTTTAAAGCACTCACACACAAATTGAAATTAAACTTGCTGTCCAGCCACAATGTCTGCAGTAGTAGCCGTGTTCACTGTTGCAAAACACCTGCTTATTCACTGCCTCCCTTTTTGTCCACCAAAGATGACATAATTTCTGTTTATGTTGTGTACACTACCATCTGCAATCTGTACATACTTCCTGACCACTTCCTAATGTGATTTGAGTTGTGTAGTCACAGAAGGTGTCAATGTCAAGAATGCTTTGAGGACAGATATTGGAGAAATAAAATATTGTTGAAATGTGAATTTTAGAATGAATTACATTTGTTTTTGATTTTTCAAAATAACATTTTTAAATTAACTGACATTTCTTACATAACAAACACTAAAATTATTTTATTTATTTATTATTTTATTTTATAATGTTTTTACATTTAATTTTTTTACTGATAGGTTTTTCCAAGTGCACACTCAAGGATCCTACAGGAAAGAAACGCCCTTCCATCTCGTATGTACATGTTTTTATTTTTGTGTTTCTTACATGCCTAAGAACCAAAACAGTTGATGTGAGGTAATAAATATGAACAATCTCTCTCCGCAAAGAAATAAGATGCTACAGAAAACATGCATCAATTCACAATGAGAGCTTTAGTATTCACCTTCTAACAGGATCATGAACCAAGGCATAAATCAGAAACACACTAGATTTAAGTTTATAACCAAAACAGAGTATTCTAGTCAGAAATCCTATTCCAAATCTGTAATAAAAAATTGTTCATAGAAGATTGCCCACATGAAACTTCAGAAGAAGAGTGTTCTTTGTGTTGAATTAGCAAACATTCTTATTTAAATTCATCACAGTGCTATGCTTTGCTATTGTAAAAGCAGTGAGGGAATAGATGTGATATATCCTTTAATTTAACTATAAATAATCTGTATGTAGTTTTGTTGGTCTTTTCTGGTCTTTTTACAGATCCCTGTATTGGAAAGGAACACAGTGACCATGAAGAGATGAGATATCTGATGTCCTGTGAGGCGTTTGGACATGGCCCTACACCAAAGCTAGAAACAGCAGTGTATAGAGTGAGTGTGTAAACCTCTGATCTCACATAACCATCTTTAGATTGAATTTCATTAGTCTGTTACATAAAATTATATTTTTATGCATTTTTAATTACAATCATTTCATTTCAATTAACCACAACAAATAGCCTAATCAAAATTTTTGACATGTAATGGGCTTTACTACACGGATCCTCTGTTTTCTTCTAGCTTGAGACAAGGTACAGGGGAAATGGCAACAACACCCTCAGTGACAGAGAGGAGTTCTTCAGAGGGGTGGTCAGGTTCTCAAGCAGCAGTCTGCTAGATTCCTTGCGTCACTGTGTTGCTTCAGGTGAGAGGTGACAGAAATTGAGGCGTCTGAGGTGTCCGAAATTGCCTATGCTTCTCAGTCAGACCCTCAGCATTGTTTTCTGTTTCACTGCGGTCAATAAAGTATTGATTTTTCTTTTGGCAGGCATGGCTGAAGGTCCAGTCACTCCGCTATTGTCAGCCATCACTCAGAGAGGAAGGAATTATTTTGTTATCACAGACAAAGGCCCTGGTGTTTCCAGCCAAGCATCAGCACAGTGAGCCTGATCACAACTGACATTGCAGAGAAATATCAGTTCAACCAGGACATGCATACATGAGAATATATATTTAGCATCCTGCAAAGCTAAAATACTTTAGAGTAGCCATGTGCACAGTCTATCACTATCATTAGAGGACATGTCTGAGACAGCTGTAATGATCGCTGATCCAGCAAGGAGAGAATGTTTTTACAGTTAAGCTTGGTAATACAGCATGTATAATTTTTGTGTCATTTTAGCATGGTTTTAAATAAAGGTTTTAATTGAAAAAAAAAATTTATATTTCCCCCCACTAATTTTTGTATATGTCTGAAATCACATTTAACTTTTAAACAACTTTAGCCAACTTTCATGCATCATTCAACCAGTCAATATTGCATGACAGGATTCAATAATAAATGTCGACAATGGAAATTCAAAACTGATTTACACTTGTTATTTTGTAATCATGAATCCTTACTCTTTTGCAATACCATAATTTTGGCTAAAATAAAATTAGTAACTTGGTATCAATTAAATTAAATCTGAAAGCCTCTTATACTGTCTGAAGTGTTGCTTTGCTCTGTTCAAGAGAATGTTGAAAACACACTGTATACCGTATATCAGCAGAATTGTTGGGCTTTTTATGAGCCAGCACAAATTAATAGAGTGAACTTCTCTATGGAGAAATGCCACTTATAAATTAAATCAAGGAATAAATTATCAACTTTATTCAAACAAAAATGGTAAGATATCAGTTTTAAATGCATACATTTAATTTGAAATCAAAAGTAAATATAAATGAATGCATCACAATATGTATGTGAAAACATAAGGTCTATTTCGATGGCAAGTACCAGAGAGAAAAGATGCATGTCAAGTTTGATTTCCTTTAGTTTTGTTAGATTGAATCTCCACACCATGAATATTGGACCCAGTCTCTACCAAATCCTGTCAGAAGAGTTTAGTTTTGTCTGGTATCCGAAACCATTCAGCAGAGTTTTGTCTGATACCAAAACCAGTTAACAGCAAGTCTTGTCTGATATCCAAAATCAGCAACACTGTATTTTTCCTGGTACCCAAAACTATTAAATAAAAGTTTTCTATTAGCCTGAGAGTTACACCGTATGAGATGAAATATAACACTAATATAAGAAAACTAATAAAAAAATGCAATATAATACATAAATAGAAAAATAGAGAAAAAACAATTTTTAATGAATGTACAGATATGTTATTTACAAGTGTACAATTTTCAGTTGCTATGTATAAATGTGTCAGTTATAATGGACAGTGTATAGTTATGAAAGTTTTAATTGTTCAGGCTGAATATAGCCTGCGGGAAGAAACTCTTCTTGTGCCTAGCTGTTCTAGTGGTCGGTGCTCCGTAGTGCCGACCAGAGGGCAACAGTTCAAAGAGAGAGTGGGCTGGATGTGAGGGTTTTGAACTGGATAAGGCAGTGTCTGAAGTTTATTACATCTCTTTAGGCTAGCCACCCATAACTCATTAGAAATCTCTGACCCTAATAAATATGTATATTTTATTTTTTATTAAAAAAATTTTTTTAAGTAGGCAAAAGTACCATCTTAAAAGATCATCTACTCTACTGCATAGATACCTGCATCTCTCCACTGATTAAAACCTTTATCTAGTATGGAAGGCAAAGAGGGATTTTCAGCTATGGGAAGTGATAAAGGTAACGTTTCCACCCCCCAAAAATTAAAAAAATGTTTTCCCCAAATACGAATGACATTGCAGGGTTACCTCTGTAGATTTCCTTTTTACATTTTGTTGGTGAAAGAATCATGGCACCAAGGGGGTACATTAATCCTGTTCTAATCTCAGCAAGTCCAGGGGCCCGTTCTTCGTACCTCGCTTAATACATCTGAGATGATTTGAAAGATGCCAGATCTTCTAATCGTGATAACTGATCTCTGGCTAATTTGGTTCTTCAAACGAATTTGATTTTAATATCTGGATTAAAGGGGTCATATGATGCGATTTCAATTTTTCCTTTCTCTTTGGAGTGTTACAAGCTCTTGGTGCATAAAGAAGATCTGTAAAGTTGCAAAGACTAAAGTCTCAAATCCAAAGAGATATTCTTTATAAAAGTTAAGACTTGTCCACGCCCTCCTAAAACGCTTAGTTTAAGTACGCCCCCACATGTCTACGTCACTGTGTGGGAAGATTTGCATAACACCGCCCAAATGTTCACGCCAAGAAAGAAGGCTTAACTTTTATTCTCACTGTAGTATTGTTGTTGCCGCCGCTGCCATGTTTTGGAGATGCTGTGATGTTTGTGAAAGCGAAACTACTTTGTTTGGCCTTCCAAAAGAGGCTGATATCCACTTGGTCATGCCTAGAGCTGATCCGTTCTGGTCGCTGAGGAAATACATAAATTTTGCGCTATGCTCTGCAATGCTTTGTGCTCAAAGGCTGTTCTATAAAGTGGGGCAGTTCCAACTTTGCAAGGACAGTCTGGCGCTTCTGACTCACAGCCTGTAAGTAAATTTTTTATATTTAAAGAATTTGCCACTGATGATTCAAACACGAGTTTTAAGCAGTGTAGAGTAGCGCTTGTTTGTTATTTCTTCGATCACAAATGCAGACATGGTTTTATGTTTACGCGGCGCGATACGCAACGCGTAAAAACACAGTATAAGTCATCATAATCAGTAATTATGTCCCCTCTGGATGCAACAAATGCCTCATTTGTAATGGGTTTTATTGGTTTTGTCTCAGCGCTCCGGGAGACGGCATCACAGTATGTTAAGGGGCGTAACATTTCTGTCACATGCTTGAGGTATTCAGCCAATCAACGCACTGGATAACTGGCCAATCAGCGTACACCTCGCTTTTCAGAACGATGAACTTTGTAAAAATTGACACGTTTCAGAAAGGCGGGGCATAGAAGACCAACAATAATGTACATTGTGGAATATAATGTGTTTTTTTTTACCTTAAACCGCATAAACACAGGGCTCAAGACTAACATTTGAGAGCAATGGCGCCAGTGCCACTAAGTTCCACAGATGGTGGCGCCAGGACCAGATTTGGTAGCGCTGGGGGTGGTGTGTGGGAGTATTAAAATATAGATCATTTAATCATATAATTACTATTGTCTTGCATTAATAAGTGCAGTTACTAATAATATTACATGTTAATTTCTTGTTTATTTTTCTTTAGTTTATTGTTTATACAGATTTGACAGATTCCACTATTTCTACCACAACACCATGGTAACAGTTAGCGTTGCCCAGAGCCGTTGAGAAAGTGTGTTTCTCAACGGCTCTGGCGTTACCGCTTCTGGTTTCCTGACTTATGCCAGCGCTGTTTATAGCGGAGAATTCTGTGCAGAATAGATCTCTATATAGATCACTAGATCTGGCTGCAGCCTTTTCATTGTGCGGCGAATTCAAACGCTTCTCACTGAATCTCACAGCACTGTTGCATCTGTGCAGTAACAGTGTCGCGAAATCAACTTTGGCTCCTGAGTAAAGCTGTTCTGAGCTCGGACAAGTTTGTTTGTGTCGTGGTCCGAGCTGAAAAACGGTCCGTGCTGCGCAGCTGAAACATAGCTCGGTTTAGTTTCGCTTGCCATTTGATGTTTCTCAAATGTAACAGAAATGGCAGTGCTCATAAGTTGGACAACGCGGTGATCGCGCCAGTGCGACCTCTCACAAAAATTAGTCGCACCAGCAGAAAAAATGGTCGCATATGACCCCTTTAAGTTGTCTAAGATTAGTGCGCGTTCTCGTGTTCCCCGTAAAGGGAAATGCAGCGATTGGCTGGCGGCAAGACAGCAAGGCAATGACATCATATAATAAAAATAAAAAAACACCTGACGAAAAGCTCGACTGATGTGCTTCAAACCGGGTGATTTTAGGTCAAGGTTTTGGCTGTCAGTCAATGATGCTCTCTGTCGGTAGGGAATAGTAAGATGGCTGCTTGCACTTCCGGTGGCTTCACAGCCGAATGGCAGTTTAGAATGCAATGATCAATTCAGTCATTAGATCAGTGGTGGAGGGTCATGGAGCTTTTGCTTGATAACATCATTGAATGTACGGTTTTGCTTTAACTCAGAAGGGGGAACAGCCGGTATCTCACTGAGCATCACACTGGGTGGCTTCTGCTAACAGAGACTGTCCTCTGCAAAGGTACAAATCAACGGCCAAGCAGAGCTTATTAAATTTGATTAAATAAGAGCTTATTTAATAAATTGTAGTCCTTAGGGAGAAAGATTCAAAGGTAATGGCATTCTGCACCCACAATGCTGAGCGAACCGAAATTGCGGTTTCGGTTTTTCAAATTTATGTCCAAAACCTTGACCTAAAATCACCCAATTTGAAGCACATCAGTAACACTAGATTAGTTTTCAGAATATGCGTATGTAAAATAATTGTTTACTTTATATATTATACGTTTATACTTTATATGTTTGGCTTTAATGTTGTTTGCTCATAGTCATTGTGATTTATGTGTGGAATGTTATCAGCAGCTTGTGATGTGCAGTGACTGCACAACTGGACCCTTTCCACAGACTGTATCGACGCTGTCACGAACCGCTACTGTGAGGAGCACGGAGCGAGGAACTAGGAGACGTGGAGTAAACTTCAACCAAACTGACTTTAATTGACATCAAAGGAACCAGAAACACACACATAGTGGAGAAAGACGTCATTCAATACCAGACAACGAGACTATGAACAGGACTCACTTTAAATACACAAGACCTGATGAGGGGATGACGAGACACACCTGGAACTAATTAACAATTAACACATGGGAAAACTAGGTCATGGAGCAGGTGGAGAGAGAAAAACATACAGAATGAGTCCAGGGGTATGACATATTGCCCCCCTCCCGGAAGGCGTGTCCTCGCGCCGTAGAACAACAGAGGGGGGGCACGGGTGGGAACTTGGGAGGAGGACAGACACTTAACTTGGGACCAGGAGCCCTATCAGGGCTGGACGTGGGAACAGGAGCCCTCTCTGGGCTGGACGTGGGAACAGGAGCCCTCTCTGGGCTAAACTTGGGGACTAGAGCCCTCTCTGGGCTAAACTTGGGGACTAGAGCCCTCTCTGGGCTAAACTCGGGGACTGGAGCCCTCTCTGGGCTAAACTCGGGGACTGGAACCCTCTCTTTACTGGGCTGGGAAACGGGAGCCCACTCAGGGCTGGACGGGACCAGCAGGCACGAAGGAGAGAGGAGAGGGGGCAAGTCGGCTTCCAGCTCTGTTTCCCAGTCTATAAGGTCCCCCTCGAAGTCCAGCAGTCCCAGCTGTATAATCAGCTTACCCTCAGCCATGGTACAGTGGGCGGAGCTTCACTCCGCGCTCTCTGTGTCCACGGCATTCTCCCTCGTGGCGGGCTCTGTTGCCGGCTCTCACACCTTGACTGATGTCACTTGCAGCACCGGCTCTGCGCTCGGGCTCTCCGTCAGCATGTCGTCTGGATAGCTGGTGAGTTCGGCAAGGGCCAGAAACAGTCTGGTATGGCCCTCGAGCGATTTTTCCTCCTGCTCCAGCAGGAGGAGGAGGTATTCAGGGCGGGCAAGGGGATCCATAAGGGCACAACGGAAACAAAAAACACTAGGTAAAAATGGAGGGAACACACGGAGGTTACTGTTTTGGTCTGGTATCACGAACCGCTACTGTGAGGAACGAGGAGACGTGGAGTAAACTTCAAACAAATGGACTTTAATTGACATCAAAGGAACCAGGAACACACACGTAGCGGGGAAAGACGACGTTCAATACCAGACAACGAGACTATGAACAGGACTCACTTTAAATACACAAGACTTGATGAGGGGATGATGAGACACACCTGGAACTAATTAGCAATGAACACATGGGAAAACTAGGTCATGGAGCACGTGGAGAGGGAAAAACACACAGAATGTGTCCAGGGGCGTGACAGACACCTTTTCACCGTTTTTTTTTTTTGTCGTAAATCCTATTTTGTTATTTTATTTTATTTTATTTTAAATGTGTGTACATTTATGACACTTTACTTTGTATTATATTACCTGCATCACTATACAAAAAAAACTAGTTAACGTTGCTGCTGTGAGAGTGCCTTTCTCTCTATTTTTTCCTCTTTTTGAAAGTCGTGAAAACACTGATGGATGGATGGATGGATGGATGGATAGATAGATAGATAGATAGATAGATAGATAGATAGATAGATAGATAGATAGATAGATAGATAGATATAGATTTTTATAGATTAAAATGTTTAGATAGATTAGAAGTTTTTATGTCAACATACTTATTTCTAATGAGTAATGAAGCGGATGTGTTTTATTTCAGACGTAGCAGAAGCTTTGAGCCCACAGGGACATCTTGTGGTTTGACCAAATGAAATGTGTTGACATGTCTTTGGGTAGTGCAATTTGAAGTAGGATATGAATGACTTAGGGGTGGGCTATATGGCCAAAATCATATATAACAGTTCAATAATTTAATATTACCATAACTGTATATAAAGGGACAATATTATTTATCCCAACATGGGACATCTTATCAGATTTTCTAAAATGTCTAAAAAATATTTCACTGAAAGTTTTGGCAGACTACAGCGAAGAAGACCAGAAACCGCAGGTTCTACAGATTTGATAAACAGACACTTTGACATGAAACAATATGGTGATTTGTATGATTTATAGATTTTGAGTATTCATTTTTATTTGAAATCCATCATTTTCAGGCTTTGACAAATATTTTTAAACTCTATTTTTAAACTCTATCTAAGTAATTAAAACCCTGTATCACAATGTTATTAACTCAGTTTAATCAGCTTTTGGGACTACAAAGCTACATTTAATATTAAAGATCACAAGAAACCTAGTATCACCCTAGTATCATTGTCCCACTGATTTTCCAAAGGGTAAAGTCAGATGAACATAAAAGGTGTTTTTTTTTTCTTTGTAGGCCTATTGTTTCAGAAAATCACTAATACCCATAATGTCAATTGAATAAATATATAATTACTAATAGAAAACATAAAAGAAAATGGAAGGGGACATTTTAAAGTATATTAAGTGACATGGTTGTAAACATTGTTTGATATTGAATTTATACAAAGAAAGAGAACAACAGTTTCTGTACAACAGCTTCACGTTAGCAATAGTTCAGTTTTGCAGTTCTAGGGTGTGAAAAGAATTCCCTGAATATTAATTGTGATTATTACTCTGTTCATTATAATTAGGCTTATAATTACATCAACACTACCATTCAAAAGTTTGGAGTCAGTATGATTTTTTTTCCCCAAGGATCCATAAGAAGCAGACAAAAGTTACCATTTGTAACTTGAATGTGCGAGGCTTCCAGTGTCATTGGCCTCCCATTTTTAGCTGTACAAAAATATATTAATATATCCCTTAGTTTTAGAAGATTATCTTGCTTTTTTAAAGAATATACTGAATAAGAATTTTTTTTTAACGTTTTTAATTTTGTTGAGGAAAATATCACATTCACAAGTGGAAGAAATGTAAATCTTCATTTATTTTATGAGAATGTTTAAAAGTTTCAAATAGCCTACTTCAAAAAATCTGTATGCTCCTCTGTCAAAATATTTACTATTTTAGTGCTGTGCTGATTTATAGCTAATTCAGAATCCATTCCATTTCCAATCTTGCTTTCTTTTGTATGTTAGTGAGTGTGATGTGCCTAACGATGTTAATTCCCTGTCTTGCGTGTACAAGATGTGCAATAAAAATATCAACATTTATTATGTTAATTAAGATTTCTATTTAAAAATAGATTATATTAATATGTTAATAATGAACATTTCTATGGTCTAATTCATATTTATATTTCAATTCTTCTGTTCATCAAAAACCCTGATGATAAATGTATATCTAGCAATACATCGTGTCTGAATATAAGTTGTTCTGTCTACACTGGACGCGTGCCAAGCCGTAGACCATACTATTTCTGACCCCTTGACTGATGAAGTTAATACGCATGCGCAGGCAAACGCTCAAGCGCGTCACACACAATCCGCCTGCTCTTGTATAGTTGACACCCTCTCATTAGCATGTTGCGCAGTGGAAAAATAAATGTGGAACTACATTCAGAAATAAATGAGTAATCAAAGGAAAATAGTTAGGATGAGTTTAGCATTTCCTTAAACATTTTCCATTTTCCCACCAATTAATTTAATTTATTTGCTTACTTTCATCACATGTTGAATTATTTATTTATGTATTTAAACAAGAATACGTGTATTTATGCACACATTTATTTATTTGGGTATTTATTTATTTATTGTTTTTGCAGGTTTCGTCCTCCATAGAGCTACCGACACCTGGGGCAAGTTCAAGCTCAAACCATTGTGCACTGTTTTGCTACGGTTTCCGGTTTGAACGGCATGTTTCCTATTATTATTATGCAAAAATTATACAAAGATTTGTACAAGCATATACAACTCACAACAAGTACAAAAACAAATAAACATTCATAAGAATATGTCAAGTTATAGTACAAATAACGCACACCCAGTGATACATTATTATCCATTATTAATATATATTATATATCAATAATACATTATTAATATACATCCTATTACTTGTTTCGCTTCTGTTTCAGTTTTTATAACCATTTCTTACTATGTGTAAGTAAGTTGTTGTTTTTTAGCATGTGTGTTTGGCAGTGTTATTTTTTAGGATTACTGATAAACTAATGTAGTTTGATTGGTATTATTTGTATTTGTTATTTATTTAAATTTTAGTTAAATTATGTCTGAATTTATTATGTCTGTATAGGTCTTTTATTAAGTTTTTAGTTTGATTTAATTTGAGTTATTTTAATACTTCAACAAACTAAATGGAAATGATATATATATATTGCATTTATAAATGTGTATGTACACATACAGTATATATGTATGTGTGTGTGGCTGTACATACACATATGTAGTTGTTTTGTGGTGTTTGGCTTAGTGTTATGTTAGAATCATTATTATACTCTCATACCGTTTGTTCTTTAATATTAGTAATTTTTTTAGCTTTACTTTTTGTTTTTCATTTAAATGTTAAGTTTTGAAATTGTGTTGTATGCATTTGTCATTTTTATTTAATCTCTTTATTTTTAAAATAGGTAGTATTTATAAAGTTTTAGCTTGTAGTTTTGGATCTGTTTTTAGTTGTTTTAATACTACACTTGATTGCTTCTGTTGTCCTCATTTGTAAGTCGCTTTGGATAAAAGCGTCTGATAAATGACTAAATAAAAAAAATAAAAACATTAGCATTGCGTGCGTGCGTAAGCTTGGCGTCTACGCGTCTTCCGGAAGTAAATGTGCGAACGGTCTAATGAGTTGGTTGCTATGCGACGTGTCCCGGAAGTGAATGTGTGCGTTGTGGCGTGTTGAATCATGGCTGCATCAACAATCAACAGTAATAGCCATCACAAAAGGCAAAAATGCAACGAGAAGCTGCCTTTACCAGACAGAGAGATTATTAAACCCTCCATAACAGAGCTCACCAAAGAAGTGCGGACCAACATCCTCTGTACGGTGGAAGGATGTGGGAAGATTCTGCCTAACACTCCAGCACTCAACATGCATCTGGTCAAGTCCCACAGAATCAAGGTACAGTGCTATATTAAAACCATGATACATTTGCTATTTCATGTTGTTGTTTTTTTTAATTACTTTTGATCAGCTTCATTTTTACAGGGTGCGTCTTATTTCACTTTTATCTTGACTCTTTTTCAGTCTGTTATGTATGCCTTTATAATCTTTTTCTGATTCTGACCGGTGAGAAAACATTTAAAACATTTTTATCCTACTCTAAACACAGTTATATAACATGCACTAGAATAACGACTTTGAACTTTTAGTTAGTTAAAAACAGTTCATCTTTACGAACCCAAATGAGAAATATTTCTGAAATTATTGTACTTGACTGCATGTGCTACAATATAAAGAGAAACCACTCTGTTAGAGCTATTCTGGGGATGTTAATGCTTTTTTAAAGATCATTATTTTGTGTATTTGGTGTAACAGAATATGTTGACATGCTTTAATGTTCAAAAAACACATTATTTTTCAAATACTGTACATTATTGGAGGTCCTCTAGGCCCCGCCTCTCTCAAACGCTTCGTTTTCTACAAAGTCCCTCCTTCCGACAAGCGCAGTCTGCTCTGATTGGCCAGCTGACCCAGTGCATTGTGATTGGCCGAACACCGCAAGCACTCGTCGGAAATGTAACGCCCCTTACCATAACCGCGAGCTTCATCTTTCAAAATAAATGTAAAGACAGAGCTCGACAGGGGAACCGAGTTGCCTCACAGACACAGTGATCAAGCTGGTCTCTCTCCCGCGCTCTCTCTCTCTCTCTCGCTCGCACACACACACACGATGCGCAAAACTCCGCATTTGAACAGTCAATAGCAAATACTTAAACTAATAACAAAACAGTAGCTGATTCAGAAGCGCCAGATTGTCATAGCAAAGTCAGAATGACCTCCTCTCCTAGGTTCACGAAACGGTCGTCCATAAAATGCATTGCTGTTCTGTTGTAAGTAATCTTAAGGATTTCTAAATGCCTCTACTTTCGGAAGGCCAAATAAAGTGCTTTTGCTTTCACACTGAAACACACAGCGTCTCCCTGACATGCTGCTTCAACACTAACTGCGGTTACTGAAACCATGCCTTCTTTCTTTGCGTGCACATTTGGGTGGCATTATGCTAATATTTCCATACAGTGAGGGAGATATGTGGGGGCGTGTTAGAATGAGCCGTTTTAGGGGGGCGTGGCTGACTCTTAACTTTGATAAAGAATATCTCTATGGTTTTGAGACTTTAGTCTTTGCAACTTCAGGGATCTTATCTATGCACAATCAGCTTGTAACACTCCAAAGAGAAAGGAAAACTTGAAATCGCATCATATGACCCTTTTAAGCATCTATTTATCTGCCTTTTGTGCCAGCTCATAGCGGCATCGACATTATATTGAATGAGACCTGCTTGACAGGCTGACAGCCTGAGTGATGTAACCCAGTTTTGCAGCACAGAACGAGCCAGGGCCGTTTGCCAGGCCTGGATTCTGATTTCTGCAGTCTTTGTGGCACTGAGGAGGAAGGTCCATTGTCAACATGGTCTTAAAACTCTGGGTTGGGAGTCTTTGCTAATTTCATGCATTCTTTTTGACATATAAATAGTATTTTCTGATTGTTGCATCCCTCTGTGAATAAACACAAGCAATAGAGAAATGTGGTGTCTATTTGCTGTGCAATATGGGAAAGCATTGTACTGTTATCATTCTTCTTATTGCAACCCATTGATGAAAAAACACATCAAATCCGACCTGACCATTCAGACTGAAAAGCATTAAATGAATAGTTCACCCCCAAAAAAATGATAATTCTTTCACTATTACTTGCTCTCATGCTGTTTTCATGTTTTCCTGTCTTCTGTGGGAAAAATTTAATATTTGAAAAAATATTTTCTTCAGAATATGATCACTTTTTATGATTAACAGACCAAAATGTGATAAATGAAACTAACCACCGAAGCATCATGTCACTAATGCCTCAAAATGATGTGCTCATGCCATCACAACTTAGATTTTTCTTCCTCTGGAGCATAATTTATCTGCCTGTGCTTATTTGTATTTCATTGTGTTCAGTTACCCACACTGAGTGGGTTATTCTCCTCAGGGTCAATGTGATGGCTTTTCAGAAGTGTATCTCCTATTCCAATAGTGTGTTCCCTATGAAGGGGAATGTCTCAGATTAGTATGTAACCTTGGTTCCATGAATAGTGAATAAGATACTGCTTGGCTTGCTATTCTTCTCAGTTTTCGGTACAGTCAACTTGATAGGAAAATCTTGTGAGTTGTGATTGTGCAAGCATGTCCTTTTAAGGAGTGATGCAATCCTTCGATGGGTGGTCTAGCACCATCAGCCAGCAAATTGCTGTGATTCTATACAAGCTTCAGAACGAAGACGTTTTCTTGCTACTTACAAAAGAAGCAATATTATTGTTGCTTCATTGTCATCTTTTAAAGTTGTTTCTTACTATATTTCTTTTGATTTCAGGAGGGTCTGGTCAACCCCACAATTAGAAAGGACATCAAGGAATCACAAAAGCTCTACTGTTGCCCAATAGAGGGCTGCCCAAGAGGATCAAACAGACCCTTTTCTCAGTTTTCGCTTGTTAAACAGGTACTTGCCATTTTCTGTGTTTTTTTCTTTTTTAGTTTTCTGTGATGTTATTTTATTGTACCTTTGGTAAACTGGCACTACATTTTTTAAATTCTTTTTTAGAACTTGATATATAATTTATGTCCTGCTAGGAAAACCGCTGCTGACTAACATGTTTCCTAATCTTACTAATGGTGTAGCACTTTATGAAGATGCATGCAGAAAAGAAGCACAAGTGCTTGAAGTGCAGTAATGGCTACAGCACTGAGTGGGACCTGCGGAGACATGCTGAGGATTGTGGGAGGACATACAGCTGTACATGTGGTTGTCCTTATGCCAGTAGAGCAGCACTGCTGTCTCATATCTACAGAACAGGCCACGAGGTTCCCAAAGAGCACAGGTACTCATTTCATCTGGCTAAGAGTTAAAACTGGTTTTGTGGTAGTAGAAAAACATAAAAAAAGAGCATGGTGTGATTTCAACCTTGGCTTGCATAAATCATAATATTAATATCTTCGTTCAAAAAGATAACCTAGGATAATATGTGGGTCAGGACTGCCATTGCGTCTTTCATTGTTAACTTATATCCCAGTGTAAGGTTGTTAATCATACTGTACATCTTATTGAAATGCAGTGTTTGTCTTATAGGTATCCACCAGTGAAGAAGAGAAAAATGGAAAGATTGTCAAGCAGTGCAACAAATTTTATGCCTGATGAACTAATAAATGAAATTCCAGACTGTAAGAAAAAGCTCAGTGAAGGAGTAGTCCCTACCATACTAGTCTCTGAAGCCTCAGACACAGCACAACACAACATTAACCACCCTAGAAACACCCAGAAACTCCTTCTCCCGAAGCCCAAAGTGGCCCTAGTCAACTTTCCTATTATGCAGTTCACCCACCTGCCCATTCTCCTCCCCTCTGTGGAAAGTAGTGCCTTGAGGTCATTGGTCTTGTCTGTGGATGCACAAGGGTCCATAAGCACTGTGCATATTTTGTCACCGTCAGTCGGCACAGTGGTGCCTGATGTGAGCAATAAGACTTTCAAAGAGGCCTTTCCTGTACATACATCAGGCCCAGAAACAATTAGCACAGGAGTACAGGTCAATCTTGAGAATCAAGCCTCTGTGGGAGATCCAGTGGATCTTGGATCCAGAAACAAAAGCACTTCAACAAACATTCAAACTGACTTAACATACCTTAACAAAGGAATGGATGCTGGACCATTGACTGCTTCCCACTGCTGTGAGGCCTCAGTGTCCTCTTGTTCTCAGACAGACATCAGTGTAAGCGCTCAGATTCAGCTGCCTGTTAATGTGCAAACCCAGACGCTACCCTCACAAATCAAAGCCATGTTTTCCATTGGAGCACAGACAGATGTTTTCAGTTTCTCTTCCTTTAATGTGACCCGAGAAACACAAACAAGCTGTTCTACAGCCCCAGTGGAGGAAAGCCAAATGGACCAAGCAATGTGCACAAATCTTTTCGATACTGATACTCTCAGTGTCTCCACTCAGACTGCAGCGGCTGATGCACATTTCAGAACCAGTTGTTTAGAAGATCCTCTGACCAGCACTGCAGCTGGACTTTTTGAGGACAAGACTGCTGCATCCATGTGTTTTGGGGCCCAGACTGACATTTTGCATCAAAACACAGTAGCGGACAACCAGACTCAGACCATGATACTCTTCCGTGACCTTGAGAATATACTTTCTGACAGCATGACTGGGGCGGCTTCGGACTGTACTTCAGGTTTAGTTGCTACGCATGAACCGCATCACACTGGTATTGACTTTGACTTTGAAGAGTTTCTTAATGCGACACACATTCAGACTCAGACAGAAGAAAGTGCTTTGAACAGTCTGAACACAGAGACAACTTTGGAACTCCTAGACATTGAGACACAGACTGACTTCCTGCTCTTCGACAGCTATGATAATGGGCACGACAGTGACGTTGGAACAAGGGTGCAACCGAGTGAGCTGGAGCTTGAGATGTTTGACACACAGACCCAGACTGACCTCAACTTCCTGCTAGACACAGGTGGGCACATGCCCCTTGGCAGTATCCTCAGACAGTCTAGTTTCAGCATGAGCACAGAGTCCTCAGACACAGAAACACAGACCGACATCAGGCCTGCTCCACTTTCTCTGCCTTGCTCCCATGATGGGCAGGTGAGGCTCAGCAGTGCTGAAACCCAGACCATCTCCAGTTCCTTTCAGAGCCTTGGACACCTCTTCTGCACTAGCAATGAGACCCAAACAGCAGTGGACGACTTCCTTTCAGCAGACTTGGCCTGGAACATGGAGTCTCACTTTAGCTCGGTGGAAACTCAAACGTGTGAGGAGCTCATCTCACTATTTCGACACAATGGGAAAGCCAAGAGCTGAAGGCTCCATCAAAGGTGATTTGGTTGATTTAGGTCAGATAATGGAGTCATTCCTAGTATCTCCCTCAGCAAGGGTGGCAGAACTTCAAAACAGTCCCTCACAACCATCTAGAGCTCATTATGTCAGATAATAACTGTCTGTTTAATTGTAGAATTTTATTTTTAGACACAATAAGGTATTGCATATATGCCCAAGTCTAAGGATGTATAAATATACCTTTGCAGCACTTTATCATCTCACTATTAATGTTCAACATATATTGTATATCCTAAAAGTATTTTATTTGTTACAGTAGGTCAGAGCCTCTCGTGGGTATGTGTAATAAGTTGATATGATGAACAGTCATTCCACAAATAAAATGTATTGTCTTGTAGGTATACTTTATAGTCTGATATTGTTTAGATGCTGTTTTTTGACCTTGAGCTGTTTGTTTGCTCTGTGGTATCAACAAACTTATGTTACATTAATAGTGCAATGCTCTAGACCCATCTAATAGCCACTGTGAGTATATTTAGGTCTTGATTCATGACAGAATTCATGCAAAAATTTCTTGCTGACTGTTATGGCATGATAATTTAATCGTTACATCCTAAATCAGTTGAATTTGCATCTTATGCATGTTTCAGACATCACAATTCCTTCAAAAGCGGAGCTGGGGATTTGCTCTTGTTTACTGTGATTTGCATTCTGTACTGTGAGTAGATTTAAATACGCAAATCACAAATGTTTACTGTTAAACAAAACCTTTAATATTTCTTTGAAAGCAAGTATCAATTTTGATGGAATATGTTCATCCCTCCTTATGATTTCAATTAACAGTTTACACATACTGTATAAACTTTTTGTTGATGCCTTAATTCAAGTGTTCATATGCTTTTGATTGAGATAATGAAATCACAGTGCTGCTTAATGGAGGAGATGTAGAAATGCTGTCGTGTTTTTATTTTCTTTCTTGTCGTTTTTTGTGTATATATTTATTTGTTTTTGGTTCTTCTGACTGTTTCATCTTTGTGTGTCAAAATTCACTACTCTTTGGCCTTAGTACACTAAATATAAAAGGCAACCATAGCTTTTTTTTTCATTCAGCATTGTGTGTGCGTATAAATGGGGTATGCTAATTATTTTTTTTATGAAATGTTCTGTTTATTTGTACTCCTGTACTTAATGTATATAGTGGAATTTCCACAAGTAGAATGTAAGTGACGCAGTGTCCGTTCCCAAATGTTTACTGTTAAACAAAACCTTTAATATTTCTTTGAAAGCAAGTATCAATTTTGATGGAATATGTTCATCCCTCCTTATGATTTCAATTAACAGTTTACACATACTGTATAAACTTTTTGTTGATGCCTTAATTCAAGTGTTCATATGCTTTTGATTGAGATAATGAAATCACAGTGCTGCTTAATGGAGGAGATGTAGAAATGCTGTCGTGTTTTTATTTTCTTTCTTGTCGTTTTTTGTGTATATTTATTTGTTTTTGGTTCTTCTGAATGTTTCATCTTTGTGTGTCAAAATTCACTACTCTTTGGCCTTAGTACACTAAATATAAAAGGCAACCATAGCTTTTTTTTTCATTCAGCATTGTGTGTGCGTATAAATGGGGTATGCTAATTATTTTTTTTATGAAATGTTCTGTTTATTTGTACTCCTGTACTTAATGTATATAGTGGAATTTCCACAAGTAGAATGTAAGTGACGCAGTGTCCGTTCCCTTTATGACGTCACATTGGCTGCTTCTTAACCTAACTGCAAAAGAGCTTTAGTATTTTTATGCCAAACACTAGGAACTCTAGTATTCAGCCACTACATTAATTGAAATGATATTTAGATCTTGGAATAAATACTGCAAATGTATTCGTTAACTTTGTGTAGGCGATGATGATGTCATAGTGAAAACTGTTGTGATAGTAAACTTGAAAGTGTCCAGCTAAGCTCAAGTTTTTCTCAGTAAAGAATGCATGCATATTTTTGTGGCAAGAATAACTTTTGTTGCTTTTTGTTTTTCAACATGTGTCTTATTTAACGTAGTATAGGTCATAATTTAAATTTGGTATAATAATGATAAAATTGATTATTTTTGTTCTTTAGAGGCTGTCCATGTGTATAGTTTGGTTATGTTCTAGGCTATACTGATGCACATGAAACTGGAAAATAAACTGCAGAAAATAATTTTTTGTCCATTAAATGATTCAAGCATAATACTGCTATTTATATTACGCTAATACAATAATGGGCTTTATTTTCTTCTATTCTCTGTTATTGTGCTGAGCAAATATTAATGCATGCAAATTGCTGTGTTCTAAATTGGGTTATTTTTGGCACATTCAGCTGGACAAAGCTTTGTAGAACATTCCCTAGTTGTGATACATTTTATGGAATCAAAATAATATTGAAGTGAGCCTGAAAAAAAAAAATCCATAACCACGGAAGGTTGCATTTTTGTCTGATTATTATTCAAAGCCATATACAAATGGCACATGATATAAAGTACTATTCAGTTGTATATTTGTAAAGGATCAACTACACCTGAATTCGGCTAATCAGGTTCATTTTTCAGTGATTGTTGGACAGTGATTGTTGAGCTAGTTTGAACGCTGAACATGCATAGTAAAATAGCAAGGTTCTGAGTAATTGAATCCTGCAGTTTCAGAAAGAAAAAAAAACAGATTTCTCTTTATCCCTTTATGTTGCCTAGTCATTTTCATGTAGCACACATTTTCAAGTACACCGGAGTGTGAGGCTCTTGTCTCAAACAGAATCACAACACGTATTTAACTCCAAACAGTATGGTGCTACAATGTACAGAGAGTTCAAAGATCAATAATATTCACATAGGCATGTGAACTCTCGTTCCGATCAGCATTAGTCGATGAGCTTCAGGTCGTTTCAGATCTCTTGCTTTGTGGTCAGAATACAACCTATAACTGGTGTTGTTCCTGGTGGAAGGCCTTGTCAATTCTTCCTGCCTGAGGTTTCTTCCCAGGGGGTAGGAAGACTGGGGTAATGTATTTGACACAGGGCTGGAGGGTAAATCATACTTATTTTGAAAAGTTATGTTAAAAATAGATGGCAGGTGATTGTTGACCTGGGACAGCCAATGCTTTGTGCTGGGAGGTCTTTTTAACCTGTAGCCATTCTCTTCTGGGATAAAGTCTATGAGGGCCTTGAAGACATTTCCTGTGTCACCACTGACACTCAATATTTCACCATCAGTGACGGCACCGGTGGCATCGGGCATCATGGCCTTGGTGACAACTTCTGCTGGATGGCAATCTGTTGGCTCCACCCTTTTAAAAAGACTGTAGTTCCTCTGGTTTCTGGACTCTTTGACAGGCGGCAACACACTAAAGCTTCTGATGCTAAGAGCAACTCTATTTTCCCTCTGAATTTGGCACGGTTCTATATGGTAATGGCAGACTGATGGTGATTTGTTTTGTTTACACTGTTCATCTCCAGACAGCAATTTGTTGATTAATGGCTCTGACATATTTTGCAGAGATAAGCTGAAAGAGTATAGTTCATCTGACGAGGAATTGTCCGTTTCCTCTGCAAGATCCAGAAGTGTTGGGGCAGTCTTTCTGAAAGTTTTCAGAGCATTTCCAGCAGAGCAATAGATTGGCAGATCAGAAAGGTTCAGGTCCGCACAGAGGAGACAGTGAGAGTCTATTGTGTCTTGCTTGATTTTTTTCCCCTTCCGTGGCAGTTGAAGAAATGCACCAAAAGGAGGAAATGTCCCCCAACCTTCAACCTGTTAAAAAATGCAGCCTGTGAGTTTTTACATTTAAATCATTAACAAATGAGAACACTACAGAAGCTTAATCTGAAATGCATATGCATACCACAAAATTTACACTGCCTTTTACACACACAATGTATTTACAGACTGTTCAATGCTGCAGAGACACAGCACAGTTGCATTTACGGACTTTACAAGTTAGTGTTATATATGACATTATGGATATACAAACAAGAAATAATTAATGAAAATAATTATAATCATAAAAAATATAAAATTCTAAAATATATAATCTGGAACCATGTTAAATAATGCACTGATACAGCCAAACCGGAGTTGTGCTATTAATACAGTGAGTTATGAGGGACCTTGGAACATGAATGAGGAACACACGCAAATGATAACAAATGGGTTACAAATCTTTTGTTTGGGCTCAAATTAAAACCCATTTGTAATTATTTGCGTGTTCCTCATTCATCATTTAGTCCCCAACAGAGTATTTTCAACTTAAAATTTTCAGTACAATCAACTTAGCTGTATAAGTCTTTTCAACTTAAATTACATTAAACTTACTTAAAAACATGAGTTGAATCTTGTATAACTTATTTTAAAAAGTTGAGAATTGCTTAACTTATTTTGATGAGCTAAAATATATAATCTGGAACCATGTTAAATAATGCACTGATACAGCCAAACCGGAGTTGTGCTATTAATACAGTGAGTTATGAGGGACCTTGGAACATGAATGAGGAACACGCAAATGATAACAAATGGGTTACAAATCTTTTGTTTGGGCTCAAATTAAAACCCATTTGTAATTATTTGCGTGTTCCTCATTCATCATTTAGTCCCCAACAGAGTATTTTCAACTTAAAATTTTCAGTACAATCAACTTAGCTGTATAAGTCAAGGGTCTGAATACTTAGGACCATGTGATATTTCAGTTTTTCTTTTTTAATAAATCTGCAAAAATGTCAACAATTCTGTGTTTTTCTGTCAATATGGTGTGCTGTGTGTACATTAATGAGGAAAAAAAATTAACTTAAATGATTTTAGCAAATGGCTGCAATATAACAAAGAGTGAAAAATTTAAGGGGGTCTGAATACTTTCCGTACCCACTGTATATATCAGTGAATAATAATGATAATAATAATAATAGTCAATTTACGTAATTCCCAAACTTATGTACAATTAACGAAAAAATATAGATACAAAGAGGGACAAAGACTGATATACATAAAATTATACAGCAATGTCAAAAGAAAGATCATTTAGATCAGGGGAAAGCACTGTCAGAATAACGGTGTCTTTTCTGATGTATTTTTAGATAACGAGCATGATAAAGGACATTATTCCTGCCATTTTAATGTCAGTTCTGGTCAGTGTTGGGGAAAGTTACTTTTAAAAGTAATGCATTACAATATTGCGTTACTCCATTAAAAAAGTAACTAATTACGGTACTTAGTTACTTTTTATGGAAAGTAATGCGTTACGTTACTTTTGCGTTACTTTTTAAACTGGACAGGGCTTGCTTGTTTGTTTTTCAAATAAAAAAGTTATATTTTTGGCAAATATAAAAGCCTTTTCACACCAAAAGTGAAATGAATAAGCCTCAGGCTGAAGCGAAAGTAAATTTACGTCCGTACAGCAGAATGCAGAAGAAGAAATTTCAACACACTTCAGCAATTAAAAAAAGACACACAAATGAGTAATTTGTGCTGATTAGTACGGTTGAACTGGATCATCGAAGGACAGAAGCAAAGACATCGGTTAATAAAATGGAATTAAATACATAAAGGATATTTGTGTTGTTTAACATTTAATTATTGCAGGTTTGCGTCATATTCTGAGCATTTTTTTATTCATTTTGAGGAATACTGAATCTGTTTTTTTATTTTGTGAGTGAGATGAATTAAGGCATATTCATATTAATTTTAGAACTACAGTGACATCTTCTGATTTCTCTCAACATGGGGACAGGAGAGCTGTCAATCAATAAATTGGAGAAAAAAAGTAACTAAGATATTCTCTTGTAAATTAAAAAGTAATGCGTTACTTTACTTGAAAAAAGTAATCTGATTACGTAACTCGCGTTACTTGTAATGCGTTACCCCCAACACTGGTTCTGGTTCGGTCCTGTTCATTTGACTCACAGCGTCTTCCCAGCCAGTGCGGCTCTGAAGCGAATGTATGTTGTGCTCCCTGCTACAATCCTCTTCGCTGAGATCCAACAACACATTCACATACTGTCTGCCCGAAGACTCTGTGTTCCTTTGTGTGCTGTAAATAGTCGTATGCTGTTTCTCAGCATCAGTATCGTCTGATGCACAGACTTCAGTGCTATTCATTCCGGACTGCTTCAGTCACAGCCTGAAACACAGCAGCAACAACAACAACAACAAAAGAGATAATTTTGTGTCTCACAAGTTAGCTCTCAAGTTGTCAGTTCACGTCTGTAGATAAGGAAAAACTGTTTCGTATGACACCCTAATGAACTAGCCAACTGAAAGCCAGCAAACATAGCATCATAAGAATAAACATGCAATCAGCATCCTAAATAGGCTACATAAACAACTGTCAACTTACGTTAAGTTTGACAACACTAACATCTTATATGTGGTACAGTTGGCCAATAAAAAATGAGTGTAAATGCATACATTGGTATTCCATTTCTGTGAAGTAAAACTGCGTGAACTGATGTTTAGAGTCCTGGTTGCCATGATAACCGTGGGAGAGGATGACGTAGTGGAAAAAGACGAGGCGTAATGTCGGCATTAATGCAATGGTTATTCTGTACACTTGATGTAGGGTAGCTTATTGTTAATAAAACAATATCTATAAATATATTTTTAAATAAAGTCTTAAAATTAATTATAGCTTATACACTGTGTTGTAGTTTTGTTAATTTACTTATGATCTTTCCATTGTAGGCATTCACGACACGCTTAATATGACAGAATGATTATTTATTTAGTTATTTATTTCATTTTCTTAATTTTGTGAAAATGTAACAGGTATAGGGTCTATGCCGTTTTAAAATGTAGCAATAAAGGCACTCGCATCCCTCTAACTTTACCTTTGGCTAATTGTTGCATAAGCTTTGCAGAATGATTACCGATGGGCAGGCCATATTATTAATAATAGGTAGGCTATCAAAACGGTTTTCTTTATTTTGTATTTTTTAAGAAAGTGCGTTTATTCTGAGCTGTTATTGCAGTGTTTCGTCTACTGTGAGACGTGATCCAGCGCACGGACTGCTTGTGGCTGAGGGGGTGTGTTTAACTGGCAGGGAACTGACGGATGGGCTCATGAATATTAATTATTAAGACGCGCCGTTCGGGTTCAGTTGATTGGCTGAAAGGTAGACGTCGGTATGAGTGATAGTCAACTGACGAATTAAGCTCACTTTGGCTTATGACTATTAATTACGTTTCTTGACCTCGCGATTGAGGAAGGTTGGCAAGAAGCGTCGGCTTGACCTAACATTTATTCATGACCTAAAGCTTTGCCTTAGTAGGTTTCAACCGGCAGCAGCATCTCGGCAAAGATCGGTTCAGGTATCCGCAGCACCATCAACCATAGCTTCCCGTAGCCTATAATGCGAAAGGACACTTAACATCAGACCTCTACTGAAACATTTTCAAAGGATTTGCAGACTCTTTTATGGAAGCCGAGGCTGCTGTGGTAATGCTGCCTCCCAAGAACTGCATCCCCAGAAACTACAGTTGTATCGCTGGGCTGTTCGGAAGCTTGACAGCAGCAGAGCACAAGCTGGAGGACGGAGAAGAAGAGATGGAGGGAGAGGAAAGCAAGAATGGGGACTGTGAATCGTTAGAAACCAGCGTAGTGAATGAAAAACCGAGAGGAAGGGAGTCATTCCTGAAGCCCCCGCATAGCCCGACACAGCGCCGCAGGTGCAAGTCTCTCCCCACATCAGCTGAAAGAGCCAAATTAGAGATCGCACGAAGCCGGAGCCCAAGCAGTCAGAAAAAGGTACGTTTCGCTGACTCTCTGGGCCTGGACCTGATTTCTATCAAACACTTTGATGACACGGATATGCCTGAGGTTCCAGACCGCATTATTAACAAATTCAAAAAAGCCAGAGCTCTCCACTTGAATAATTTCGACAAGTCCAACACGTCTAGCCAGTCCGTGTTTATGGAGCTGCTCTTCGCAAATCCAGGATCCCAGCCAGACTTCCTTGACAGAGTTGTTGCAGCGAAGGTTTTACTGGAGTCTGTTCAGGCTGAGGAGTGCAGCCTCGCGGGGATCGCGCGGGTCCTTAACTTGGCTTTCGAAAAAAAGGTCTATTTGAGGTACACCATAAATAACTGGACGACATTTATGGATATTCTGGCGTTTTACGTCCCCCATTCCAGCGACGGTCAGACTGACAAGTTCAGCTTCAAAATCATCACCCCGACCTTTCTGGAGTTTGGAGGAACACTGCAGTTTGCCATCAAGTACTGTGTCGGGGGAGGAGAATTTTGGGACAGCAACAATGGGAATAATTACAGAGTAAGACGACACAGATTTAAAATTTCTCCTCCAAGGGAATGGGAGAACGGATGGATCCATTTTATTTAGTGCGCGCATCAGCCGTTCCGCTATGACGAAGCTTGCTCATTAATATTAATTATGTGGCTTCCATTGACTGATTGGCTAAGTAATAATCGTGAGCCAAGGCTTCGCCATAGTAGGATTAGTAATCTCTCCAGCAGTGTACCATGAAGGAACTATACTGACCTTCCATGAAAAACGTATGTAGCATACCACATATTCGTAAATGTAACTGTGCTTTTGTCATTGCTTAACCAATGGTAGAGAATAGGAAATTAAATTGACGTCAGAAAGGTAACCACTAATTGACGAATGTAACATTAGGCACATTGTTCTCTGACACTGATTGTTTAGCTGCCGTACATGGATGGTTAAGGAGACAAGACCCTGTCCTGCATTCATTAAAATGAGCAGCGCCATTTTAAAGGCAGAGTAAGTGATTTCTGGTAGCCAATGTTGATATTTGAAATCACCAAAACAAACACGCCCCTACCCAAAAGGGTCTTGCCCCTGTTTTGATAGCTCCGCCCCACATTTATGTACGCAACCCAGGCAAAGATTAGTTCTGTGAAACAAAGCAAAACCAATGTTACACCGTGTCTACATCGGACGTGAGCGGCACGGCGCAACAAATCCCTGACAGAAAACTGCTGCCGGGTTCTATTTATGACGTGCTGACACAAATTTCAAATGGTTTTCAACGGTCGTTTGATCGCGTCCAGTGTAGGCAGACTTTAGCTGTTGTAGACACGGGTGTTACTCACCTATTGAGAAGAAACAAAGCAACCTCGGCGTCCAATCGCAGGCCTCCGCTCCTTGAGTTCTCTCCAGCGCTGGAAAGCTGATCCGATATTTACACGGGTCCTACTTCTTGGCTTATCGTTCCGCAGACGTTTTCCTCTTTTGTTTTTTATCCGCCATCTCTATCTTTCTGTCGCTCGGCTCGGCTAATGTCCGTCCCGTGCACTGAAAGCTCTCTCCTCCACATCACGAGTAGACACGCCCCTTATTGCTGAATGGCTACAAGTTTGTTTTGCGATTCGGCCCGAATCAGTTTTCTAAAGTGTTTTTGAAAAATCACATACCCTGCCTTTAATGAACCCAGTTTACATTTAGCATGTGCTGTAATAGGATATTGTGTAACAACTACATAACCCACAGTGAGCCTGTTACTCTTCAGTTTCAGTGAAATCATGGTGCTTCAGCATCACTGTGCTTGTTTTACATAAAATTGCAGCTAAGGGTTTCGGCTAACGTTACCTCTGAGGAAGATTTTGATACAATAATAAATCAAACCTTTTAGAAGAGGCTATACCTTGGATCCATGAAAAACTGTGACCAGTTCTGGTCTGCCTGCTGCAAGCAGGCCTTGAACAACCGCCTCTTCAGGCCAGAGGAATAAGGATTACCTGCACCAAGGTGTCTTGCTTTAGCAATCCATGTGCAGCAATTAAATATTGCATACATTTTCATGCAGGCTGTTGACTATTTTGTGTTTTACTTTTAAATCCGTCCAAAAAAATTACTAAAATTACAAAAAAATATATAATAGTTGGGATAGTCCACTCAAAAATGAAAATTCTCTCACCGTTTAGAAAAATATTACATCTTTTACACATTAACAAAAGGGTCATTTTGTGGGTGGAATTATCCCTTTAACGCATGGTACTGGTCTCATTGTGAACGATTCATCCTTGCATGCTTGCTTTTCCTGTGATATGCTCACTTGACAACGAGGGCTCTGTAGAATAGCTATCAAACTGATAAATGCTAAACAATACTCGGCAGTGCAATGGGATCAGAGTGAGAGTTAAATAGGGGATGTGTGAGTGATAACAGCTGTGTGCAATCAGTGCTGTGCAATCAACAGTGTGTGTGTCGTTAGTGCAATGAATGATGGGATATGTAGTCCGGGGTGATATGCAACAGTGTGTAGTGCAAGAGTCAATGAAATGGGAAGGGTGACCTCTGATGGCTAGCAGATGGAAGTTCATGGACCTGATACGTGACAATTTTATTGTATGATGGTCATAATCATTTAATGTCATTTATGTCGATGCCATTTTAAATGTCATTTGCATAAATGTAATTTAAATCACACTTTTTTCATACCTTCCTCCACCAGCAATGACGTAGCACATAAATGAATATACTTCAGCTTAATAATAATGTGGTTTTGATTTGGTAAAAGGTGCTTGGTAAAAAATATATGATGAAAATATTGATTGTGCATGCACTGTATGAAATCCCCCCACCCACCCCACATTTTTATGGAAAAGGGATTGTAAAATTACAGAAATGTGCATGACAGCGTGACACCAAAGTGGCTCTGTAAAATAAAAAAAAATACCTTTGTGAAAAAATTAAAAGAAGGTAAAATTTTCTGATTTTATAATTGACCTATAACTCAAAAGTTTATGACGCTTCTTTGGGGTTCACTAATGTTACATGAGTAATTGTGAGTTGCTGTCATTGTCTGCATACACTTGTTGACCTTGAAAACCCAAATCCTATAAACCTTAGATGTCATAAAGTAATTTTATGACTAAATATATTAAAACAAATATATCTCCATCGTTTTATTTATTCTCTTTTAATCAGATGATAACATATAGAAGATTATTTATTTTTTGACAAAACCAAATGAGTAGGTATTTTCAGGGATAATTAACATTTAAAACACCCAGACCTTAATAAAACAAGCTGTTACATTGAAGTGAAGTTATCAGCTTTCATGCTAAAACCATAACAACAGAAAGTGTTCAAGACAAGTCAGGGTTTAATATACCTCACACTGTGTAACCGAAGTCTTGGCAGTTTGTGTTATATTATAAGTGTTATTTTTAATTATCTAACATGGGAGTAGGTCAGTGAAGTATTTCAAGCCATACCTGAAATACCTTAGATTTGAAGATTGGCCATCTCAACTGATTTCAGTGGCAAAAGCACACTAAAAACAATTATGTCAAAGACTTCTCCATAGTTAAGCATAGACCTTATCTTCAGAATGCTGTCTTTGAACTGCAGTGGCTCTTTATATTTCTATGGCATTGCTGTCAAAGAGTAATTAGCTGGTGAAGCGGATTTACTTTTTGTAGAGTTAATGAAAGTTATGATAGAGCACTGTAATGTTTGAAGAGGATGCCATAACAAATGTCAGTAGACCGGGAAGATTTTAAATCGAGTGGTCCATAAAATTGTAAGATCAGTGCTGAAAAGGGGCGGAGCTATATTAGATCTATAGTGAATTACTGCCACTCAAGCTGGGCTATCAGGTTGCTGGGCAGATTAAACGACTTCCTGATCCTCTTGTACTCTGCGTCAGTCAGGGTCGTAGCTAGGGTATCTGGGGCCCCTGTACAGGTTGTTGCTGTGGGCCCTCCTCAGTTGAAATCGCAGGAGCCCGCTGAAAGCCCTGATAATCGTCACTACCTTTCTCCCACGGCTACAGCTGATGGTTGAACATTGAAAATCATGTCACCCGAAGCAGCCATGTTTCATTAGTGCCCTGTAAATGTTTTGACATCAGTCAAAGATTACGCACTTTTATTTAAGACTTTTTTTGGTCTTTAGCCGCACTGTGAATAGTTTATTACTGTATGACAAATGATTGTAAAGCTGAACTTTTCAAAAAGTATGAATAGAGCATCTACTCTTTGTAAAGTTATACAGCATTCAAAAAGAATTCAGATAACTTACATATTATGTATTGTTATAATTATATATTTTATATATTAATTATATATTTTGTTGCCACGTTTTGTTATGTTACAGCCTTATGCTAAAATGAAATCATCTAAAAGATGATCCAGAGAAATGTAATGCACCTAAACCAAATTTCAGGTGTCACAAAAAAAGCATCTGAACACTTAACTTATTGTATATCTTTGTGATATAATTTTATTTTTATTTTTTTGGTTTGGGGCATATTTAAAGCATTTTAGCATAAGGCTGCAACATAACAAATATGAAAAAAAAATAAGGAGTCTGAATACTTTCTGAATGACTGTTGCACAAATGAACATCCTGCTTTTCTTTAACATCCACAAGTTATACCTCTTAAATGCCATTCTTTGTATATGTTTTTTTCTTCACTTGGTTTATTCTCCTTTAGTCATTTTCAGTTTTAAACTACGGGTTTGGGACAGTTGGAAGGCAAGTCGAAGGAAAAGGCTTGCTATTTTAAGTTCTTATTGCACTGTAAAATAGTTTGATCTTTGTGGAAGAAAATAACTGATATGTGCTGTTGTTTCACAAATGTCATCCTGTGTTTGTTTTAACCTATGCAATACCTGTCTTTAATATTTCTGTTTTGCAATTGTATCAGTGTGTAATGTTGTTAATCGTTTTATTTTGGAATGGTAATACTGTTATGTCTTCTGCTTGCATGTACAGACACCGTGCACCTTTATTTATGTAGTGAAGGTCTAATGTAGCATAACTGAGTTAACACAAGAATTAAAGTATTTTGAGGTATCAAAATTCACTGTGTAATATCTCATTGTTCCTCAGCTTTACCCACTGTGTAGAGTATTGTTGGGGAAATGCACACACCTCAATTCTCTGTGTTTGGTAATAAAATGCTGTTATAATATAAAATGTTTAAGTGTATTCATTTGAAGTTTCATAAACTCCTCTTACACATAACATGCTAAGATTAGTTAGACTACAAGTTAGTCATCTAATTGTTTTTTAACAATTAGTTTGGCTAAGTTTATGCAAATGTAATTTTTTCCCCCCAGTAAATTTTATGGACATTTAATCCTAAAACACAACACAATGCAAAACACTGCATTAAAATTTCATAAATATCTGTGACAAATCAATGTGGAAAATTCCATAATATTTAGCTTTGATACATTTCTCGGACCATCCTTAATAGTTGCTCATTTAAATGTCTCGAATTGTTCTTGAAAGCTTGAATTGTTCCAAGTCTTCAGTCAGCATATTGATGACTGCTTTACACAAGATATTCATTAGCATACAGTGATGACGAAAAGTATTTTCAGTAAGTGAAACATATAGAGTTGCACTGATATTCGCTTACAGTTGTATTGCTATTAATGATAGGACTTAGAAATTAAATACAGTATATTATACCATTTAATTGAAGGCCACTAAAAGTTTATCTCAAATCTTTAATATGATTTATTAGCAAAAATCGTAGTGCTTATCGTTTGGGGTGTACACTCATGGTCTTTGGGGTCTCTGGAGACCCCAGGCAACACATTTTTATGTTGTAACAAAATAATAATTTTTTTTTAAACAAATGCATTTTTCTCTGTTTATTAATGTTTTTACTCCACATCTGTGCAGTTTTTGGAGGATTTATGATATATATTTTTTTAATTTATATATATATATAAAAAAATGTATATAGGTTTTTATACAAAAACAGCTAGTACCTTGTGCATAAACAGGTGTCGGCTTGGGCGAAGAACAAGATCTTCATACTGTTCCTCATCTTTTTCTAGCTGAATACTAAAGTCCCTTTGAGAATGCCATGATTGGTTTGACTCCATGCTGAAACACACACACACACAAGTGAATATCAAATGGTGCACAAAAAAACTAGCAAAGTTGGTATCAGTTATTAACACATGAAAAAAATTATGCATTGGTGTTGCATTATTTTACTTTCAATAGTAATATGTTACACCGTGGGTCTTAAACTTTTCAGGGCCAAGAACCACGCAGGTTCAAAAGTTAGTGAACCCCTGAATTTTTTTTTTCTCTCCTTCTCTCTCTTTTTTTTTTTGGTTTTATGGTTTCAATAGCTGGGGGCAATGACTGGAAGCTTCATTTATGCATTAATTTATACATGTAGTACCTTGTGCATAAACAGGTGTCGGCTTGGGCGAAGAACAAGATCTTCATACTGTTCCTCATCTTTTTCTAGCTGAATACTAAAGTCCCTTTGAGAGGTAATCTCAGCCAAATTTGATGAGCGATTAATTTGCAATTAATTTGATTATTCACCACATAATGTAATTATTTAGATTACAATTTTTAATAACTTAACAGCCCTACTCATTATGAAGACGGGGCAGGTTCAAAAGTTAGTGAACCCCTGAATTTTTTTTTTCTCTCCTACTCTCTCTTTTTTTTATGGTTTTATGGTTTCAATAGCTGGGGGCAATGACTGGAAGCTTCATTTATGCATTAATTTATACATGTAGTACCTTGTGCATAAACAGGTGTCGGCTTGGGCGAAGAACAAGATCTTCATACTGTTCCTCATCTTTTTCTAGCTGAATACTAAAGTCCCTTTGAGAATGAAGACCAAAGAGCTGTCAAAGGATGTCAGAGACAAGATTGTAGATCTGCACAAGGCTTGAACGGGCTACAAGACCATCACCAAGAAGCTTGGTGATAAGGAGACAACTGTTGGTGCGATTATTCGGAAATGGAAGAAATACAAAACAACCATCAATCGGCCTCGGTCTTGAGCTCCGTGCAAGATCTCGCCTCATGGGGTAAGGATGATCATGAGAAAGATTAGGGATCAGCCCCGAACTACACGGTAGGAGCTTGTTAAGGATCTTAAGGCAGTTGGGACCACAGTCACCAAGCAAAGCATTGGTAACACTCCGCTGCAATGGGCTGAAATCCTGCAGCGCCCGCAAGGTCCCCCTGCTCAAGAAGGCACATGTACAGGCCCATTTAAAGTAGGGCTGTTCGATATGGACAAAAAAAAAACCTATCGCAATTTCTTTGATTAATTTTGCGATTTCGATTTTAATCACGATTTTGACACACACAGACATGCTTTACAGTCATAAATGCATTCAGTGCTAATTTGAAACATATTTCCAAAAGAAAACCAATTAGAGCTTTATCAAGAAGCTGTAACATGTCTCTAGAACAGACATAAGGCAAAATAATCACTAAGTAAAGGTGTAACAAAATGTCTCTAGAATAGACATATTGCAGGGGGGAAAAATGCCATGTATTGGTCATAGAGCTCTTTGTGGCGTTGCCTCAGATGCTGAACTAGATTTGATACGCCAAGTTCACACGTACTCCATCTGCAGTGCCTATACAGTATGTGTATGCGGTGCAGAAGCAGCACGGACTCATTTTGCTTTCGCACAGGACGCGTTTGCAGTCTGCTCCTGATCCGTGGCTGTTTACCAAACACAACATTTATCCATTATTTTGATTTCAAATCTTTTTCAGCATTGTGATTCTCTTTTATCACAGTACAGTAATACAATCTTTCATAGACATATTCACGTTTAAACTCAATAAATATAACTTTGTTTAACTACCACCACGAGTGCCATCTAAAAATCCATGACTTTTCCAGGCATGGAAATGTCTGTTTTAAAATTTCATGACTTTAAAAAAATTTTTCATGACCGTAAGAAGATGCACGCTGTTAATCACGTAAGCTGGTCCTCCATTGCGTGAATGCTCCGTTACCTCTCCCTCCTCTAATCATGCCGGATCCGTCACCCCACTTTGTTCCGGGACCTCGCAATTTACAAATTAAGCACTGTCTAGGCCCATACCTTACCTTACTTGGCAGACTATCACCAGTATGGGTAGTGGTGTCAAGGTTATAAATTATAATTTGATACCAAGTTCTACAGGACTATGTGAGATAGAAAGCAAATACAGTCGGCACATCCCAAAGTTTCACAGCCCAGCAAAGTCCAAAAAGCAGGTAAAATGAGAAAAGGAAACAGAAAATGAAAAAACGACAGAAAGGTAAATAAGAAATTCTTGAGGTATAACATTCCTACCAAGCAGCACTGTGATCTCAAAAGACTCTGTGACCTATGCCAAGGGATGCTCTTGATATACTATGATCCTTTCAGAAGCTGCAGAACAACATGGTTTACAGGGGAAAGCTGGATTTGATTTGATTCTCTACAAAGTACAACAGGATGCCCAAATGCTAAAGGGATAGAGGGTTTCATTCTAAATCTTTCCCATCTTTATTTCACAGCGTCTGGTAAAATCACTTCTATTTCTTTTCCAGTTTACAGAGAAGGTAGGCCACCCTATTGAGCAGTTCTAGCATGCTAAGTCACTCATGCTGACTCATGCAAGTTTGGGTTGGATGCTCCAAGGGTCTCCTCCCTTAGAAGATTATAAACATATTTTGCTAACATTTTTACAGATATTTGCTCATTCTCCTGCTTGAGTGGACTTCAGTGGACACCACTTGTTCTGTGATTTATATGATGAGCTTTTAAAAAAGTGAATTAATAAATGTACCTCTTAACTCTCTGTTCCGTCAACCGCATGGCTTCCTCTGCAACCTCTCTCCTTGATCTCTCCTCCTCTAATCTAGAGTTGAACTGAGACAGATGAAACTCTGCCTCAGCCAGCCTGGACAAAACATTTAAGAGAGTATCACACAAAAAAGTTTACAACATGAGTCATTTACAAACATTGTCTGTCTGTCAAACCTCATCTTGAGATCTCCGCTGTCTGAACCACTTGGGTTAAAATTCTCACTGATTGGTTCCTGAGGGGCGCCTGGTGGAACTTCTGTGTAAACTGAATCCTGTTGAGAAATGAACAGACTTAAACATATAAAAGACTCAATTCTAATTTCATTTCAAGGCCCTATCATATTCGTTCCTTTTTCAGGGCCAAGAACTAGAGGTGTTGTTGCACCAGATCTTTCTGTTAGATTTCTTCATCTGGTTGGGAGTGTATGGCAATATATGATACAAATGATGAGATTTGGTAGTAAACCAATCTTGTCCAAAACTCATCAAAATTGTTTTTTTGCTGGACTATTCAAATGTTAAAATGACAGGACCAGCTACCTGAAAAACAGGAAATGAGGCAACACATGTTATTTTGATTAAAAGTTGTGTAAGCAGGAAAAAGTCATGTGATTACTGAACCACTGCACTGCAGCACCTCTGTGTGTGCACTCTGCCTTTAAATGAACATCAAAATAAATAAATAAACCATTTATGATACTCATAAAATCAGATACAAGTAAACTTCCAAATTGGCACATTCTGATTTTTTAATTTATCAACAGGACTGAAACGATGCAGTTTAGTGACTTATTTGAAAACTGATATTTTTACCAATATGATACAGGGTACATTTATTGATCAGCTGATATAGCAATAATTGTCTTCAACTAGATAGTTGCAGTAACAATGTTCATTATATAATTTAAAGAATCAAAAATCATACATATCAACATTCAGATAGCACCACAATTTCCAACAACCTCACATCCAATGACCTGTCATTCATATTAACTTTTAGCCAAGAACCCATTGACAAAAAATATATAAGTTTACATGGAAAGGCACCGAAACTTTACTGGACATACTGGAACGGTTAGATTTCAGGCAGAGAAGGTACCCGAGTAAGTGAAATTACTTTGGCCTGTATATATATATTAGTGCTGGGCAGTATGACCAAAAATTTATATCACGGTACTTTTCAAAATTATACCGGTTTTACGGTATATGTCAGTATTTTTTTTTTTCATGCATGACCGGGTGTTAACCATATTTTCTACTGATTGAGAGAGGAAATACTGCAGTATATTGACTTAGAATGCCCTATTTTACTGTCATGATGAGTGAATATTGTCAAAAAATACCACACTAAATAGTGACTAAACACGACCCCTTTTAATACATGTTAACCAGAAGTCACTCTCATTTATAATCGCGGCATCGTCTGATAAAATCAACATGCATCTACACTAAAGAGCGGCTATGCGGTTGTTTTGGCTATATTACTTTTTTGTCTCATGCAGCGCACTGCCTGCGTCTGAGTAACAAACTAAAAAAAACAACAAACAAAAAAAGTGCATGTGATATTAACAGACGAACTACGCTCATATTTATAATTCCAAACAATCAGTAAGCGGCAGGTGCTAGGAAACGCTGTTTTGTAGTCATTTATTGACGAGTCGGCTGCGGTGCGGACAACTGAATGCGCTGCTTCTCTGCCGCTCACTGCACAGAACAGATGCCGAGAGAGGTGACAATTCTCTGGGAAAGTTAGACCTCGCGTTCGCGGGACAGCGCTGGCGAAATCTTCCAACTGAACCATAGCTAAGGCTTATCCAAAAAAGTCGATAGGTTTGTCAGTATGAGTATTCTATGGAAAAAATCAGCTAAAGTCGCGCTCGTGCTAATATATATATATATATATATATATATATATATATATATATATATATATATATATATATATATATATATACACACACACACACACACACACACACACACATACATATATACTGTATATATATGGAAAAATTATTTAAACAAACCTTAAAACATTTTTCTTTGTAGCAGTTGTTACAGTATTTCCAATCCACCTTTATAGAAAGATAAACTCACCTGTGTGGGTGAATACTGGTTTTGAAATTGTCTCTCCAGCCAATTGCAGCGATTCTGGAGCTCACTAACAGTCTGCTGTGAGTCTCTGAGCATCTTGGAAATGGTGCTTAACTGGGAGGACACACCTTCCTTTTCCTCAATTGCCTGTTGCAACTAGTACATATACAAGGATAATAAAACATGCACAGATATAAAAGAAAATAATTCATGGCAGTAAATATAACACTTTATTTTGTTTTCCAGATGGAACATTTGGATGCATACCTTGATGTTGAGTTGTTGGAGGCTAAACTCCTTTTGCTGGACCTCTCGCTGGCAGTGCTGCAGATGGCTATGCAACTGGACCCAGTGTTCTTGAGACACATCTTTACCTTGCAAAGCCATGGACTCCTGAAGATACACAGAAAAAAGCAACTAATTTTTCTGAGTTTTATGTAAAACAATGTGAAACAAGTGCTGGGACCAAAATAGCCAAAATCTCCCTGAAAAATTTAAATGTTGCTGCATCATCATTCACCTACTCAAACTATGCCCTAAAAACGTGTACTCTTTTTGTGAAGAAAAATTTACATACTTTTGAGTGTGTAGCAGAATAATAGGCAAGTTTTGGGATATAATAACCACATCATAATTGCATTTTAATGGATCACTTTGTCGCACAGTTAAGTGCATCATTATGTCACAGTTAACATCCTCGTATACCATTTTCATCAGGTTACATATAGTAGCACACACCCCCTTTTATCCAAATCTCCTTTACTGTCATTAGAATTTCCTTTCTCAAACCTGAACACTTGCCCAATAGCCTTTCTAGTAAATATCTGCTTTTTTACAGCATCTAGTTATTTTTCTTTTAGAGTTAGACAACTCAAAATACTGGAAACCTGCATCAAAGTCTAAACATCAACACAAGATTATTATCTAGATGTTGCCAAGAAAGAATATTCCGACCTTGCATTTGAACAGGACATTAAACATGTTCAAACTCTAGATGAGTTGAAATTCTTTTTCTTATTCTTGAATTTCTTATTTCAATTCAATAATTGTTTCACATTTAGCACTAACCAGGATATGGTGTTTCTCTCTCTCCATCGTCTTGTCTTCTTCCACTTTGCTGGATTCCCACTTGTGGTGTTGTAGCTGGTGCTGAATTCTCTGAATCTGATAATTGGAATTTCTGCAGACCTCTTCTTTTTCCAGGACCAATTTACAGATTTCTTCTTCCTTTAATGATTTTTCACTGATAACTTTAAGCAGCTCTTGTTTGGTCAAATCGAATTCCTCTTGAAGTTTCTTGTACAGTTCATCCAGTTTCTGAATTTGCGACTGAGCAGCAAAAGTGACTTGTTCCTTCTCAGTTTGTGTTTCCCTGAGTTGTGTGATCTCTGAGGTTAATTGCTCTATTTGACAGGTCAGCAGTGAAACTGTGTTTTCCAGTTCAGATGCACTACCTTGCAAGTGCAGACACTTTTCCTTCTCCTGCCTCAATAAAGAATCATTTTCATTAATAATTCTGACGAGATGGTTATTCTTTTCTTGTAGGCTCTTTAACTCTCTTTGAATTTGAGCAATTTCGCCCATTTCTAATTTCAGTCTGGCTTCACATGATTCTGATTGTGCCATTAATGTCTTCTTAACCAGAGAAAACTCTTTATCTTTGTTAAACAGCAACCTATCTTTTTCTTGCAGAGCTGTCTGCAAATTCTGAACTTCTTCATGTAGCTCAGAGATC